AACGCTGATTTTAGCCCAGGTGCTTTGTTACCTCATCTGAACTTTGTTGGTGGCCCCTGCCCTGGCTAGACTCTTCACCTTAGGGTATTACTACTGTAAGCCCACCCGACGTACTGCTGCCAAATGAAACATCTAAAATAGACCATGAGAGTCACCTGCTTAAAGCCCTCCAATAGTCTCCACATCTTCTAGAGAACAGCCCAAGTTGCTGTGAGCATCCTACAAAGACAATTATTTCTAGGACATGCTTCCTCCATCCTCCAACCTCAATACACACCACTTCCTTGAAATTTACATGACAATCACATACAATTGCTTGTAATTCCCCCAAAGGTACCAACGGGGACCTATACAATTTGTGCATCACACTGCCTTCTTCTTGAAATGATTACCATCCCCCCTTCTTATCCTATCTCGGCTCCTGTTTCCAGTCTCCAGTCAAAGGGCATCTTTTCTGCTTGACTCCCTTCCACTTACCACACCAAAGGATGAGCTGGGCAAAACTCTTACAAGAGGCCTGTAGCATTCACTACACACTTTGTTACATTCACCAAACCATTGCACTGGTCTGTTTCTGCCAGTTTTTCACTTCAGGCTCTGAGAGCTCCATCATGTAAAAACTGTAAATCCAGTAATTAGCACAGTTCCTGGCGCATAAGGTTCTATCTATGTGTATTTGTTGCCCCAAGCATATAAAATACACTATATTTCCTCTACATAGAAATATATTCATGTAAAACTGAGTTTACAAGTGAAATAGAACCAAGCAAGGAGAACTAAGACCAGGAATGAAGAAGAAAATAAAAACAATGGAATTACTGAGTGGTAAGAGAGAGAGAACAGGGGAAGAAATAAAAGAAACTTTCTATTCACTTGCAAAAGGGTTAGAAATAATTAAGTTAATATAATAGACTTTTAATAAATTCAACCAATTAATGAATTTTGTGAAATTCATAACCAATACAATATCGTGGGGTGTATTTATTGTGAGGTAGAGGTCTTGTGGAGTTGCTCTCTTATACTGCAGTCAGCTTTATTCTTGAAAGTAATTCTAATATTTTTCACCAGAGAAGAGTAGACAATTCCTGGAGAACTCCAGTAGAACACCCTTGCATTACAATCTATACTAATAGGTTTATAATTACATTAATTACCTCTAAATACGGTGACTTGCATATGTAATATCATCCAGGTTATCACCTTTTGTTAAAATTAGCTTCCTAGAGTTCCTGCTACACTGAGTCACATCCATCTATGCACAATTAGATATTAAATATCTATATGTATGTTATTTTCCTCTTGGTTTGTTAATCATAACTCTAAAATATTTCATGCATTCTTAATGCAATTTTATTCAGAAATTTACAAACTTGCAGCTTTATTATAAATTGACATAAATTTAAAATATTTCTTGCTAAGAATTTAAATTTTACATACTTTTTATTTTTGAAAATCTCCATCACGTTTTAGGACTCTAGCAATAATTTTTCTGCATAATGAATTTCATAAAATGGTGAGTTAATATTTAATGAGTTCTTTTTTAGTTCAGACTCTTTCATAATACTTTAAAACTTTAGTCATTTCATTTATTTCTTTGTTGAAATTCTCTACATATATGTTAATGAGTGTTGCAAATTTAAATTCTTGACTTTAACTTCTCCCCCATTAATATAATGCAGTTCAGGTTCCAAAGTTTTTCAAGCAGGTCAGAGGCTCCTGTCATTCACTGCGTGCTTATGTCTAAAAGTTAAAAAACAAACAACAACAACAAAACCTATACATAAAAGCGAGCCGTTGGAACAAGCCAGTTAACTTGCTGTGAATTCTAAGCATGGGATACTTTTACAAAAATGTTATAGTGTTTATAAGAGTTCAGAACTCAAAAGTTATAAACCAGCTGTGAGGTACCTCATTTTATGATCCTGATCTAATTCTAAAAATAAAAATATCAAGCAATTTTATTTTCCTACTATAACTTATTTCAATATTTGACCAACCTACAGCAAAAGACTACTATATGAAATTTAATTTTTCTCAAGCAGTGATGAAACTTGGCAATAAAACACGCTTTAAGGTTTTCAGTATCTTCTTTGACTTCATAGGGTACATTACTAAAAACTGTTATTCATTTTTCTTAACTCCGTTTTGCAGAAAATACATTACTTAGGATAATAGCTTCTACTAGATTATTCTGTTTCATCGCAATACTTCAGGTAACCTGCTGTCGCCTGTTGCAATTCAGAGATTCCGACAATATGAGAAGCTGCAAATGTCTACATTAGGCTATCTATCTCTTGTACAGATGTTTGAAACTGTACTGGGCGAAGAGGTAACTAGCTGCCTTTCTTATCTAACATTTATTAATATCTGAGTACTTCAAAGACCAATATTGGCCTGAGCCATTAATTACAGCTGGCTTGGCTTTGCCTGTCATAGCTCTCCCATATGTGACTTCTGTACAGTTGTGATAAATGGGAGCATCCCCGGAGGGCAGCCTCCAAAGAGAATGTTACTCTTATCAAGTTCCTGGTTGCTGCCGCCATCATTTTATAAAGTCCAAGAAGCGGAAGAAATCTGACATCACACATCATCCACAGATGTTCACATTTTTCTCTCCTTTCTCCTTTTCGAAATTTCCTCTTCTTCTGCCCTATTCAATGCAATCCAGCCTAGTCAGCTCAGCTGCACAGTTAATCCTCATCAGGCAGCATAAGGATTCCTCCTGATAAACGATATTATGGTGAAAAATAATAATAATAATAATAATGGCCAAAGACTACATCATTCTGATGACTGGACATGAGTTTAAAGTACTGCTTCCATTTTGACTCTTGACGTCCCTCAGGAGAGGCCTTACCCTTGGGGCCACTATTCTTCTTAATAGGTTTTATAGACTTTCTTTCATTTGCTTATTCAGAAAAGTCATTGAGTTGCCTATTCTCTCCCCCTATCTGAACCTCAAGTCCAAAGCTACTGACTGGACTTGAAGTTCAAACTAATGTAATTCACTCACCTGTCAGTTTAGCTCATGCTCTTGGCCACCTGGCTGCACAGTAAGTCTCCTGCACATTCCCCTCCCAGCCTGGTACCCTCTGGATTCTGTTTCTTCCAGACTCGTTCTTCCAAGTTCCTTTATCACTCTTTTGATCTAGCTTTTGGAGCTCCTGTCCTTCTGCCATGCATCATCTCACTCTAGACTTTTTCCTGTGAGATTATATAACAAAAGGCTAAATGTTCATTCCACCTGTCAAAGTGAGCTCTCCTAGGCTTCATTAGCCCACCTTGCCTAGTACCCACAAACTGGGAACTATTATAGATGCTAATCAGCTTAGTAAAGATTACCCCGGGCCCTCTTCTAAATGCCAGACTCTGTTCTCTTCAAAGCATTTCTACCACAAATGCAAATTCACAAAGGTTTTTTGAAACCTCCTCATTGATGACTCGAAATTAACAAAGCCCAGTCCTTGCCCTTAAGAGAGGTAGCTATCTGGAGAGAGACCAGTAAACAGGTAAATTCAAAGTATGATGGAGTTGAGAAAAAGGTTCACATTATAACTGGAGGCCACCTAGCAGAAACCACCAAGACAGGGATGCTTAAAATGCCACATACAGCTTTATTCCCAAGAACCACAAGTCAGAATCGATTTAAAAGAATACGGGTTTTTTTGTTTTTGTTTTCTCCATATCGTTTGGAGTGCTAATGGAAGAACCTACCTCTAAGAGATGAAGGAATTCTTACAGGGTATTTTGGGGGTAGAATGACATTATACTATAGCAGAGCGGATAATTTCCTCTATTCCTTTTCTGCTCTGAATGAGAGTGAGTGGCTTACGTTGTGATCAGAGCAAGTTCTGCAGGACTTAGGTTATGATGCCAAGAGAAATCTTCAAGTAAGTTATTATTTTTCCTTCGCTAGCCCGTGTGTGTGTGTATGTGTGTGTGTGTGTGTAAATTTTTCCATGTGGTATAAGCCACACTACTTACTCTTCTGGGGTGGTACAGTTTACCACTAAGGTCATCTTGGTTTCTACATTCACATCTCCCTGAAAAACGAAGGAAGGTGGGTATGTAAAGCAGTATTTAAAACAGAACAGGTAGTATGGAGGAGTGGAGAGCACAAGAAAGAACTTTCCATCACTCAGGCTGTAGAGGGGTCTTCTGCGATGGCCTCCCCACCTTCTCCCTTAGTTAAATTACTCTTGCTTGATCCATGCGGTAAATAAAGGAGAAATGTATCATAAATAGGGACATATACACCATGGATAGGCGTATCTACACTTGCACTGAAGTACATTTTTAAAAGTTACACCACTGAGAAGAGGGGGTTTTCCATGTACGTTTAAGGCCTAAGGAGAGAAAGGAATGGTTTTTTAAAAATACTCCATAGAGAATGATATTGCATTCCTGAGAACCCCAAAGCTTTTGCTCCTGGATCATTTCCCCCACATCTGAAAAAGCTCACTTTAGGTGAAATCTTTCGAACCCCACCAATCCCAGCTTAGCTGCTTCTTCCAGCATGAAATGTGGCAATATAAACTACTTCACGGTGGCAGAATTCATTAACAATAATTATTAGATATCTCAGAATTAAAGTACCTTTATAGCCATCGTAACCAACTTCTGTGTACAATGTTGTCTCTTTATAATGTGCACCTTCTCAGACCTGTAGATATATATTTTACTTTATGGCACCAAATTACTCTAGATGGTCATAATTTCCCTGGAGTTAAAAGTTTATTTAGAACATACCATATTTTCAAACAAACAGTCCACTAAGTTTATTCCCCAATAAATATATTTCATAACTATACCTCGATAAAGGTGACTGTTTAATATCTATTTCTATTTTTAAATGAAAATAATAAATCCTTAACCTTTGAAGCACTGTTTTCTATTAATTATAACTTGCCTTCACATTCTAAAGGGGCATACATTGATGGACTATGGCCAAATACAGCACTGACAGCATGGCATCACTATTTTTTTATTTTTACTGACACTGAAGCTTCTCTTCAAATTCCTAGTTCGATCCGCATCCCCTAAAAATTAAGAGGTATTATGAATTTTTTAATTGAAGTATAATCAACTTACATTATATTAGGTTCAGGTATATAACAGTGATTTGATATTTTCATGCATTACAAAATGACCACCATGATAAATCTAATTACCGTCTGTCATCATACAAAGACAGTACATGGTTTTTGACTATTTTCCCCACACTTTACTTTTCATACCCATGACTCATTTATTTTGCTATTGGAAGTTTGTACCTCTTCATCTCACTTACCTATTCACTCATCTTCCCCCTCTTCTCTGGCAACCACCAGCTTGTTCTCTGTATCTCAGGGTATCGCTTTTATCCTTACAATATTTTTCATCATTTAAACACCTTTAAATTCTCCCCATGGTCATACAGTGAATATTTATACTCAGATATACGTCTATAGTTTTTACCAACATTATTTGAGTCTGTGGTAGTTTTGAGATGATTGCAAATTCTTTACACACCTCTAATGGAGACAAGGATTTTTTCTCCCTTTGTTATTTGGGTGGACCCTGTGTCTTGCTTTAAGCAATAAAATGTGGCAGACGAGACGCTCTATAACTTCTAAGGTCGATCATTATGAGATCTTAATTTCTGCCTTCACTGCTTGAAATGTTCCCTTTCGGAAGACAACTGACTGGCAAGAAGGCCAAGCTATCCGTGTGGAGGGAGAAAAATGCCATGTGAACGAGTCCCAAGGTACCAGACACATGAGTGACACCTTGGCCCTTCTGCCTAGCCTAGCTACTAGTCGAGTTGGCGACACCGCAGGGAACGGGAGAGCTGCCACCCAGCCCTACCAGGATACCTAAACAGCAGAATCATGAGAAATAAAGTAGCTGTTGTTTTAAGTCACCAAGTGATGGAGGGATGGGTTATGAAATCATAGACAATTAAAACAGAATCTGCCTATGATACATTCTGAATACCACCAGGTTAGCATTATAATTCACCAGACTCTCCCTTGTGACTTAAATAAAACTTGCTAACTTAAATATTTTTGTAGCAGAATGTTTGTCCGAAATTATTTTTCAAGGTCCAGGATAAAAAGAACAGATGTGCCTTGCAAGTTCTTGATGTAAAACAGTTTCATGTTAGTAAATGGTGTTGAAATGTTCCATATTAATTAATCATTAGAGAAATGCAAATCAAAACTACAATGAGGTATCACCTCACACCAGTCAGAATGGCCACCATCAGAAAATCTAGAAACAATAAATGCTGGAGAGGATGTGGAGAAAAGGGAACACTCTTGCACTGCTGGTCTACATACATACGTATTTCTATTGACGGGATAATAAAGTTAGATTTTGCCAGGGGCAAAACTTAAAATTCATCCATTGGCTATGTCATGAGATTCTCGTGGTAGCTAGGGAAACAGAGGGTTAGATGTGCCACCTAACACAGTGCCATCCTGGGGACCAGGAGAACCCTGACTTCCTGATAAACTGCTCTGTCTCACTGTTATCATATTATCTGACCTAAGATTTCCAGTTTAATTTGGAAAAGCAACAGATCTAACTTAAGAGATGCTGGATTAAAATGCATAGAAGGGTTTATTCCTCATGATAAAATCAAATACTACTACTACCCAGTCTTCATGTATGAATATGTAATAATTAACTCATTAAGATTTACTTTAAGTCATATTCATTCACTTAGTATGAAATCACGAATTCTTCTGGCATTGCTTCATATACCTTTTCTGACTAGGTTATTTAGAGATCAGGAAAAATGAATTATGAAAGCTCTACTTGATTTCGATCAATGTACCCGCTAAACAGTGCCCCCATTCTCCTAATATCCCAAGCAGAACGTCAAGAATTAGTGCCCGTTTTGAACTCTAATAACTGCCTCCCGTTTAGTAGCTTGACTTTCCCAAACCACTAGAAACGAAATGCTTTTTTCTAGTGTTTAAAGATTACCTGCCACCAAGTATGACCTGCCATAATTCAGGAAGTGCATTGTAAAGAACTGATTTTTCTTTAAATTTTTTCAGAGAAAAGGAGTTATTTGATTTTAAAGAGCTCTGGAATCTTTATGGAATCTTAAAAGAAAATTTAAAACTTTGTTTTCCCTATTGTTAAAAATCATTTAACTAAAACTTCCCTCTGTGAAAATAGTTGGAGCCTTAGAAGACCTGGTCATCCTAAATGGATCAATAAAACATTTCCTCACTGCCATTTTTCTTCCTGGTGTGTTTCTTAATAATTTTCAGGACTACTTGGTGGAACACAGGGGAATATTTTGACCGAATAGATAATTTCTGAGTTTGAAATGGTTCTCAGCTTCTTCATTATATGAGGTTGTAAGGACATAAAAAGTCATGAATTTATAATTTATTGAAGTAATTTTTTCTTGAAAATAAAAAAGGATTCTGCAAAGGCTAAGGTCTTCCATCTCTCCCTCAACTATGATTATTCTCTTTCCTCTTCACTAGGAGAATAAGTTAACCGTGGCTGACAGCAACATATAGCATTTTTAGGCTAAATAAGAGATGAAAATGAAGTATAGTACACTCCTTAAAGAGATGTCTCCCATTTTACAAATTAGGTTAACCCCCCAGGATGCAAGAAAATGCAAACATGACATGTATTCATCATCACGTATTGAAAGTTTCCATATTACTTAATAAAATTACAGGAAACAGTATTTTCACAGCACTGGGTCCTATCCACTGGCAGACTTTATGCTTTACAGTACCATTCATTCATCTAGTAATAGAAAATCTTCCTTATTGTTACAGAAAACCCAGGGTACTTTAAAAATGCTATATTAAAATTTCTAAATATTGTCTTATTTCCTTAACATGAGTAACTCACTGGATATAAATCTGTCTTTGATAATATGACAATAAATGTCCCTTTCCTTTTCTCTATCCACTGGGAAATGCTCAACAATTATTTGCAAATTTTTAGAACATGCAACTGCTGGCACTTATTCCTGAGTCTAATACTTGAAGGTGGGGAGGACACTATTCTCTTTTCAATGTGTTACAAGAATCTAATTAACATATATAGACCAAGGTTATAGAGATAAAAATATACATATACATAGATGTACAGCACCGAAGTGAATGCCAACAAATTAAATACTTTAATTCCAATTTTGCAAATGAGGAGCTAAGGTTCAGAGAGGTTAAGAGATTCCCAAGGTATCACAGCTAGTAAATAGAGAAAATGTCTTTTTGGTCACATACAATCATACATATCATAATAACGATCAACTGCTCACCTTTATTAAACTGAGGTTAAATGATTTATTAAATATTTAAACAATATTAAGTGATATAAATGATATGAAATAATTTACTTCATGGGGCTGATTGGGAAAGCATATTGGCTATTTGCTTTTAGAGTTCATGCTCTTATGTGCTCCACTAGACAATTTCTCAGGTGTTTAGTGAGTACGTATTGTATTTCAGGCAGTTCCAAGATCATGGTTCTTGCCGTCTATATGCACACAAGTGCACAGGCACGCACATGCACCAAGACTGCTTATCAGTTTATGAGACACAAAGAGCTCTAAGTCATCATGAATAAAAGAGGAAAATATGTTAAAGAAGCCAACTATTAAAGAATCTATTTTGATAATACCCGTAAATAACAAAAATATCATGCATTTTAAAACAAACATGTATGCTAGCATTTATGTAAAAAGAGGTGGCGAAAGATTTGGAATAGCTTTTATATACCACAGATGTCTCTGGAACAAAGAAAAGAAAAAAATGAAAACATTAATAGTGATGACCTATTAAGGAAATGATAGAATGCAAAATTGAGCAGCTGGGGAACAACTGTAGGAGGGAGACATCTCACTGTATATGTACTGATTTTGATGTTTGAACTAAGTGAATATGTTATTCACAAATTAATGAAGACAACTGTGTGGTTTGTTTAAAATCAGGAAATACAAAAGTAGACTCAGTTAACATTGGTCACTGAGCTAAACAAAGTGACAAGAGAACTCTGCAAAATAAGGCTTAGATCTGACCCTTAGGTTGCTGAATAACCAGGGTGAAAGCATTCACCTTTTCATTCATTAAAATAATGAAGCCCATGTGTTGCTCAGGGTTACTGTGAGAGACAGGAAAGACAATCGTAAGTTTTTCTAAATTGTGAAGTTTACACACACACACCATATCCTACAGTTCTCATCATTTTTTCACTAATAAAATAGTAGACGTAAGATACTTATCATGTAAAAGACACTAAAATTAGCTATGCCTAATTTTAACGTTGGCTTCCCATACCACACAAACTGAAGTATATGCTTTGGATATGGAAGAGTCATTTTTCTGTTTTAAAACATTCTGAGTAAACATGAAATTATTCATGGTGAATATTCTCAAAGTCATGGAACATATAAAAGACAGGAACCATGCTCTTAGCACACTGCCTGACACACAACAGGTACTCACTAAACACCTGAGAAACCGTCTAGTAGAGCACACAAGAGCATGGGCTCCAGAGGTTCAGACTCTGGTTCTGCTGCTGCGGTTCTTGGAACTCTCTTAACCCTCCAAACCTTAGCTTCTCATTTGCAAAGCTGGAATAAAAGTAATATATATTACACAGAATTATAGTGAGGATTAAATGAGATATAGGCACTTTACCACTGCATGGTATATATGAATAGTACTCAAAGCTTTAGCCACTGTCAGTGATAATAAAAATGCAATAATTTTAACACTAAAATTATTTTCCTTTTATAATTCTAAAGTTACTTTGTAACTTTGCTACAGGCCCATCAGACTTATCTTCTATGACAGATGTCAGCCTGGCCAAAGCCATAAATTAGAATTCAAGAATCACTGATGCTGAGAAATAAAGTTTTACATAGAGCATGGTCCAAAGACTAGAATCATGTTATAAATGCAAAATCTGGACCCCATTCCAGGTTCACCAGGTTAGACTTTATAACAATATCTCCAAATGATTCATATGCATGTTAATGTTTAAAAAACAAAGGTCTAGAAATAACTGTCTAATACAGTAGCTCCTAGTCACATATTGCTATTTCAATTTAATTAAAATTAAATGAAATTGAAAATCAGCTCCTCAGTGACACTAGACACAATTTGTGTTCAATAACCACATGTGGCTGGTGCCTACAATATTGGAAAACACATATATACAAGCTTTTCTACCATTCCAGAATGTACTATTGGACAATACTGATCTAGAGCATCTTTCCTAATACTTGGTAGGATACTTTTCTATAGGTAGTAAAAGATATTTTAGGAAAATAAGTCTTAGTAATCCAATAAGATTGTTTAAACCCCTAACTTTTCACCAAACGCCTTTATACACAGTACAAAAATACTCATCTGAACTTACCTTTTATTTTTTTTCACTCAGATTAGAAAACTGAGGGTCAGTTAAGGGAAGTGGCTTGCCCCACGTGCAGGTGATCATTCTCTCCAGAGATTCCCAGCCCTATTTCTACATTTATTTCCTCCTGTCACCACCCCCTCACATTCATAAAGCCCTCATTTCCTCTTGCCCTGAATATCAGCTCTCAAGACACAGCCTACCAAGTCACCATGGCATGTCAAATAAGTACAGTTAGACCTAAATCATGACCACCCCCTGCTCAGCCTTAAAGTTAAAAGACCAAAGGGAGTCATGGTGGAATTCAGATATATTCAGACAGATGAGAAGAGCTTTCTCTTGACAGGCAGTCAGGAAAGTGAGTGACAAGAGAAGGAACACTTAGGACTATGTTGGGGATTACAGTATCTCTCGCCTCCAAAGGGCAGCTCGGTTTTGTTTCTTTGCTTGCTTATTTGTTTTTAATTAGAGCCTCAGGTTTTGCAGATAAGCAAACAAAGGCTCAGAATAAAATATTTGAATAGACTTCACATGGCTAGGAATTCTCAAACTTGAAATTAAACCCAGAATGTATCATTTTTAAATTAATTTTTTCTAGTTTTAGTGAGATATAATCAAGGTAACATTGCACGAGTTTAAGGTGTATGTCCAACATAATGATTTGATATATGTATTGCAAAATGATTACCACAGCAAGTTTAGTTAACATCCATCACCTTATATAGCTACAAATTTTTTTCTTGTAATGAGAACTTTTAAGATTTTCAGCAAGTTTCAACTTTCAAATATACAGTGCAGTATAACCATAGTCGTCATAAAAACAGAAAAACAAACAAACAAAAAAAAACAAAGGGCAGCTCTGAAAGCCACCATTCCCAGGAACCACTACCACAATGCAACTTGATCAGACTTTATTTTGCTAAATCATAGAGAATGGCTTTTCACCTCCCTGTGTGCAATTATTCTACTTCATCTTCTCCACAGAGAGCTATTTGAAATTATCAAACTGTTCTCTTCCATCCCTCAAAAACACCTGGACCAATTTGTTGGGACAAATCTGACAAGCAATGTTGGCTGACGGGCAACTTTGCTGCTGGTGAATGGGGTCTGACATTCAAAGCTCCACAGGGTTTGTAGAAAGTTATGATAAAGTTGCTTGGTTGCAACATCAAGTGTAAAGTTGGTTGCAACATCAAGTGTAGACCTAGACTGCACCATTTTTGTAAGGTCAGGATGTTAAGAAAATTTTTGAGAACTTGGAAATAAAACATAATTATG